GGGATCATTATGGCGTCAGCGATGCTGTCTGCAAATGCCACGCCTATTGTCTTCCGATGACCTTTAAACTCGCACTTTTTAACTGATCGACTCAAATTTCTTCTTGTAGACGAGTCTTTCTCCCGCACACCTCTCTATAAGCCTCGCGCTCGACCGTTCAATAGAGGGATTCAAATGTACCCACTAGTGCGGGAGAATAAAAATGAGCCCGGTTACCCTCAATAACCCGGGGCGCGTTTAAATTATATTTTCGCCGAATGTGGCGAACCCGTATGATCTGTAGGTACTAAAGTTTTTTTTTCTAAATAATGAGGGATGTTTTTGTAGAGATATTTCATGGAAATCCAAATACACAATGAAATTCGTATACGTCATACCTTGAATCAGAGAACAAAGGGGCTATTAACGGAAAGTCAGACTTACCGCTGCATTTTACTGTTAGTTAACTTAGATTTCGCTAAGTCTGAAATTGAATCCTTAAATTTAGCAAACTTTCTCTAAAATAATACGGTCTTATTACTTATCCAAAATACCGTATTGCTATCTATTTTTAACCGACTTCAAAGACGAGGAGATCTTCGATTCGATTTTTTTTTATGAAATGGACTGAGGATAAAAATATTTTTTGACAATTCAATGATAATTATTTTTTTATATGGTTACAGTTAAAGGATTAATAATTAAAACAAACGATTACATATAACATAATATTTATGATACATTTATTCACGAATAAACAACGTGAAAATTACAAATAGTTTATAACTATCCTAGAAACATTGATGGGTGCTATTTTTTTTATAGAGAAGATATTTTTATTACTAGACCAATAATTATAAGTGATTTATATGATAATATGAATACCAATACAAGTTTTGTGAGCAAATTAAAAATGGCTAAAAGCTAGACTAGATTTTAATGTAAATTTGAAAATTTATGAAATATTTTTTTCTCATTATCAATACTTGTGATTATATATGTATTATAATTATAAAAGGAACTGGTAAAGCATTATTTATAAGTTATTATGATTGCACATTGATATAAAATACGCGGTATTTGAGTTGGGACGTCGGTTACAAGAGTACTCTTCTGCATTAAGTGCCAACTCAAGATACTAAGATACTACACATAATTTTGTTATATTCCTTGAATATTAAGTAGTTTTTATAAAACCAGATGAAATATCTAGGATAGGTAAATTTCGCACGTGATCGTGAAATATTTTAATAATAATTTATAATAAATAGGTCATGAAACATTAAAAGCAGTAATGGAATAACATGTTTTAATTATATTAAAGGGGAAAAATAATAATAAAATATGTAGCAAAAAAAAATAATTTTATCTCGTAAAATGCGTATACGCGTAATGCGTTGATATAATGTATAGATCGATCGCACTAAGTCAGTGGACATAATATGTGAAAAAGTACAATCAGGGAATCTGGCGGTGTCCCAACTTAACTAAGACAATCGTCTGAACTAACAATACATATTAGAACACATCTTTAAATGCGCCTCTATGAAAAAAGGTCGAAAATACACGACTAATTGTTTTTATTATTAACCTGTCGTTTGATCTAAATAGTTAATTATATGAGTTTGTCTTTTTGCAAGGAATTAAATTCTTCAAAGTGGAACACCGCGAAAAGATCTGCCTGTACACGCTATGACGTCATCGTTCACACCAATTTCCGTCTCACTAAATTCTTTATTCGCTACAAGCTATGACGTCATGCAGTTAATCGGAATGGAATCAAAATTATAAACAGGGTCCCGACACACCTTACAATAAAACATAAATAAATGTAGAAGTCAAAGAGATTCAAAAAATATATAGAGGACGCATAGTTTACATTTCACTTCAGATATTATTCACCTGATCCACAAAATCGTAACTATTCAAAGATCTTCAAATGCACATATCAATACAATTAATTGTATTTAAATAAGTTATTGCTAACAGATGTGAAACATATTTAAATGTTTATATATTATTTTACTACCATTATATAATGATTTTCTAAAGTTTTATTTCATATCAATAAAAGGTTGTTCTACATTTGACAACTAACATAGTACCTTTCAAAAAAGTTACCGGTAAACAAAATGTTCACTATGTCTACTCTATATATTTTGAATGTCTTTGATAGAATTACATCTGCTGCGTAGAGTTTCCGTTCCACGTGTTATTATCGTCGTCGTTGTTGGCGTCGCCGGCGAGGCGGTGTATGTTGCCGCGGCGGCGCAC